TATAGTCAATTTCTACCATTATTATGATATTACATATTCCAATCCGATTGAATACCTGAAAAATGAAAGGAATAAATGATTTGATCTGTTCGTTGACATAAAGATAAAATAATCATAAAATATGTATACAATATATATAGGGAGAGAGTTGATTTTTCTAGGATTTAATTTTTTCATGGACTCCACAAAAAACGATTCGCAAAGAAGAGAGATGTTTTTACCCACTTTTTTGTTTTTTTTTTCATTTTTAGTAGAATATTTAGAATATGATTGAAATGCATACGAAAAGAGGATTTGTATTTATTAAACATGTGTAGATATATCATTTCTATTTATATATGTCTTTCTTTTCTTCTATTATAGCACTCTAGTGGAGACAAAACATGGCGTGCTCTATCAAAATTCGATTTTTTTCTTTTATTTTAATCTATTCAATGAAAAACTGAAACACGCTAATTTCTTGTTGATTCCCAATGGATATCATATCTAGAGTCTAGCCCCATGACAAGTGGTATTAGAGCGAGGTTCGTGACTAGACGAGATGGCTCCACAACGTGGTGAGACAGCAACACCCGAGGGGGTCAAGACTCGCAACACGGAGAAAAAGCGAGGAACATCGAAGGACATGATCGCATTGTTCCAAGGTAAGATCACCAAACTTGAAGACTCCGTAAGGGAGGCTAAGGAGGTGTTGGATCAATTGGAATCCATCGACAAGAGTGAATAAGCTGTATTAAAAATAAAGTTTGAGGGAGAATTAAAGAGAATATTAAAATTACTTACCATTAATAATCTTACTCTAAAATAAAATGAATTAGGTTTATGGTAAAAAGTCAATAAATAAATAAATTAAATATAATCTACAAAATAAGAAAATAGAGTTACAAGTACCACCATTAAAGTAAATAATAAATAATATATGAAATATGAAATATACATAAAAATAAATGAAATTAACATCAAAATTTAATAAATAGTAAAAGATATGAATGTATATCACATAAAATTAACATGGAAAATAATAATAAATACAAATGTATTCAAGGAAGTAAAAAAAATAATTTTAAAATAAAAAGGAAAGATTTAAAATGTCGTGTTAACAAAAAGAAGTAAATCAATTATAAAAAATAGAAAAAATAATAAATAAGAAACGAAATTAAGCAACAAAATTAAAAAAAAAAGTCAAGATAAATAAATGTGAAGTTGGAAATTCAATTCAAAAAGGGAAAAAACAAATTCTTAAAAAGAACGAAGGAATTATAAAAATAATTATCTCCTATCCTTTGAAGATGCAAAGATTTCATAAGGATCCAAGACGGGTCATTGGGTCATTTAATTGAAAAGTAAATCTATTTTTTTTTAAAAATACTTCTTCATTCAAGATTGATTCTAGGTTTTCATCGAGAAAACTTAAGGAAAGGTAAATCCCAAAACAATAAAAAATAAAGTATGAAGAGAAATAAAAAAAAATATGTCAGTTTTCATTGAGAAACCTCAAGGAATGCTTAGATTAAAAATCTATTCAATAACATTTTCCTTGTTCATCGGTTTCTTTCATTCGATAGAGTTCTTTAAAAAAAAGAAGAAAAAAAACAAAGTCGAAATCTATTAAAAAAGAAAAAGAAAAATAAGAAAAAAAAATAAAAGTATCACCTTTAACAAAAAAAATTATCATTTATTGTCAGTAATCTCAAATTACAGGTGGCTCCCCCTTTCTCTCCAAAAAATAATGTCCCCTTTACATAAGATAAATGTTTATTTATAGGCTCCCAAAAGCCCCGTCATCTTTTCATTAATAAAATAAATCCTAAAATAATAAAAATATCCTAAATTACCCTATATTATAGAAACTCTAAAGCTTAATTTAATTATAAATATTCAATAAAATTATTGAAAATTTGTAATAAATTAAAATTCCTATATTGAGTCTGTATCCAATTTTCTACACGTGTTATCTTTACTAAAATAAGCATATCTTGAGTTCGCAATGTCCGATTGAGACGTTTCAAGATGAACTGGATAGCTAACTGAAAGCCGATCGTATTTCAATAAGACATCATTCCTTTAAAAGGCATGAATAGTACGTGGAAATTCGCTTCAAGTTGGCAAATATTTCATGCTTCAAAATCAGCTTCAATAAAATGTTTGGACCTTGGAAACAAAACTAGGTCGAACAAAAAAAAGTGTCTACAACACCCATTTTCAGCCAATAGGTGTCTTTCCAAGAGGCAAAGGAACTACACTTCATGTGTTACTTAACTCTAATGCTTGAATTTCTTCTTCCATTGCACGAATCCATAAGGGGTTTTTAATTGCTTTAGAATAAGAACATAGTTCTACTACAGAAGTGGAAGAAGAAAGAAACGACTGGGTATGTACAGGAAGATGAGTATATGAAATATTAGCAGAAATGGGATAATGACTGGAAGTAGAAGACTGGCAAGATACATATTTATTCAACCAAAGAGGAGGTTTAGACACCCTATAAGACTGCTAACAGATGGACCTGACTGAGGTATGACATCTTAAGGAAAACAACATCGGAAGGCAAAGAAGAACCACCAGAAGTATTCAAATGAACTTACCAAGATAACCTTTTAGAGTGGCAGAATAATTCATGAAGACTGAAGGAATGTCCTTTGAAGAGGATTCATCGCTATAATTGGGTTGAATAGCAATGTCATTTTGCTGAGGAGTACCGAAAATTTTAAATTAAATTTCTTAAAAATTTTAATTCAGACCTTCAATTTTCAATTAAATTTCATTTTATTAATAAATCAAACCCCCAAACTATGTTGCTAAAATCCATAATTGTAAATGTTGTTACTTCCGGGGGGAAATCATGCATTAGATTTTCAAGAGGACGGCTTTTATGCTGTGTTATAGATTTTTAATTTACACTTTGTTTTAAATAATTTTATTGGTGGAGTAGGGTTTGATTAACTTAAATACAATTTTATATTTAATATATGTTTTTATATTAAATATTTAAATAAAAACTGTTAATTATTATTCAGATAAAAATATAAAATTTAAACGTATTTAAATTATTTTTAAACAGAATTGTTTGGAATTAAATTCAAAATTTAATAGTAATAAACTTTATTTTAACTGAGGTGTTTTTTAACCAAACGTTCGGTCGACAAGCCTAACTTTTTACTAAACATTGATGGACCAGATGTTGCATATTGACCTTAAGTAGGTCACAAGTCCAACCATATCTGCCCAAAAAGGCTTTTAGAGTTTTATATACTAACGAAAATTGAAATTCTTTCAGAGGGCATACATCAAAGGAATATGAGGAGATAACACTTTTGAGGAATATAACACTTGTTTCTACTTAATTAGAAGAGTGTTATACAATGATATGAACCGAGATTCTTTTGAAATATTTTACTTGTGTAAAAAATCTACTACCAATAATTTTCCTTTACATATATATATATATATATATAATAAATTTAAATAGATAATTTATTAGTAAAAAAATTGGAATCAAACCGACTTATAGCGACGGAATCAAACAAATAAACATACTTTTCAAGCAAACGTCAGTATTAGGGAGTTGAGTACAAACAAGATATGACGACGGAAGATACTTGGAGACTCCAGCAAGAAGGAAACTCTTTTTCCTTTACAAAGTAGCCAAACTTTGAATTTGATCCATCAGGATTTTAAATATTCTAAGGTAATTCGGTTATAAATAGGAATATTTTTTTTTGGAAATCATATAATTTGAAGTTTATACTTTATATATTAGTCAAATATATGGTGTTTAGGGTGGGAAGCTAAACAGATCAAGAGAAATCTGCTAAATACACTCACTTTTTAAGTTCGAGTTAGGGACGGAGCCAGAATTAATATTCTGGCAGGAACCGAAATATTATATTATTTAAGAAAAATATAAAGGTTTGTTAGGTATTTAAACTCGAAATTCAGCATGAACCAAACAATCTTAAATATTACATTGTATTCACCGACTTAAATTGTAATTAGACCAAAAATTTGAGAATACCGGCTTATCATTCTTTAGTTAGAACCCTACCTGATTAAATATTTAATATTTTTTAAATTTAAATGTTTACTTTTACAAGTCTAGCCGCAGCGACAGGAAGTTTCCATGTTTAAGTGCGTTTTGCTTTCAAGGATTGCATTTGTCATGGTCTTTTAAGTCTTCTACTCACAGATTTTCCACGTTTCCTTTTTTTTTTTAATTTTATGTAGAAATTAGTGGGTAACATACATTTTTTAATAATTGTTGAAATTAAATTTATTATTTATAAAATATTTAAATCAGCCCTAAAGTTTGTTATTTCCCACGGAAAGCCTGATCAAATTTCTTTTTATTTCAAGTCTAAATATTTAGACTTTAGTGGGTAACATACATTTATGAAATATTTAAATCAGCCCTAATTAGGTATTTCAAGTCTAACATATACAATGTTCAACCTCGCACAGCTAATCAGCTATGAGCACAATACTTTCTTTTTATTTTCTTTTTTAAATGATAATATTTTGCAGAAAATATATAAAATAAATGTATACTAATTACAATTAAAATTAAGGGTAAATTACGTATTTAGTCACCCAATTATCACTTTGACTCTATTTTGATCATCCGACTTTTTTTTTTTTGCACGAATCAAAGTGACATCGGTGATAAAAAAATTATTGTTATTCCTTGAGATCTCGAGCACCAAGAATACTAGGGGTGTGAGCATATAATGACATGTTGGTAGTTTTGTTAACTTTTTAATGGCGGATGACCAAAATAAAATTAAAATGTAACATTAGGTATGATTTTGAAGAAAGAAGATAGTTGGGTGACTAAAATGAAACTGCATGAATAGTTGGGAGACTAAATAGATAGTTTATCCTAAAAGTAATTAACATATTGCACGGATAAAACCAATTGAATTATAAATTTTAAATTAATAGCTTAGGAATTCCCTGAAATTTCTTGGATAGTCTAGTGCATATATAAGAAGCCAAAAACTTGCCTTGTATATATTCTTTTCCTTTTGATCTTCCCCTGTTCTTCACATCTCCAGAAATGGAAGGAATTGCAGCCGCTCAGTTTGGCCGTCGTAAACTTATTCATCTGGTTTGTGCCCTTTTCTTCTCTTATAACTATCATTTTCTTTATTTTCCCCAGAAAGAAAATGGGGTCTGAAATGAAGGGAAAAAACCGAATTTTCTATCCCACCAAACAAACAGGAAAACGAGCGTTTGCTAAGCCAAATCATGTGAAGTTCTAAAACAATCCAACAGTTTTGTACTTCCATTATCTAAAGATGTTCGATTAAATACGTAAGTGAAAAAAAAAACATTTCAGGTGAGGCATGCGCAAGGCAAGCACAATCTGGAAGCAGACAAGAGTCGAGATCCATTAACATCGTTTGAATATTTGGATGCTGAACTCTCTCCTCTAGGCTGGCAACAGGTTATTAATCAGAGCTGAATCAATTTTCCTTCATAAAATGACATTCGTGGTGATTTTTTCTCTCTCTTTTTAATAGGTTCGTGATCAACGAAAAGATGTTTGTTCAAGTGGATTGCTGAAGGGGATTGAAGTGGTGATTTCTTCACCTATGTCAAGGTACCCAAAATTTTCTCATCTTTTGATCGAAGATGCCTTCTATCTTGTAAAAAATTTTGGGGTGATGTTTCCAGGACACTGCAAACAGCTGTTGGAATTTTTCACGGTGAAGACGATGAAGATTCGACAACCGTCCATCTGCCTCCGATTATAGCATATGAACTTTGCCGAGAACGACTGGTATGTTATTGGCATCTAAAACTAGGAGCTAGCATAGATTAGGCTTGGGTCACATGCGAGTTCCACACTTTAAAAAAGATGATTGAGGTACGCTTGGGGTTGGGATATTTTTTTTAGTAATGTTTTAAGTTTATTTTAATTTAAATATTTATTAAATTGAATTTTGAATTTTTTACTCTAGATTTCAGCATTAATTATATTTTATTGATTTTAAAATTAAAATAACATGATATTTTTAATGTTTGATAAAAATTATGTCCCTATATAAGAGTTGGAGTTTAACATAATTAAAGCAAGGGACAAAACAATTTGTAGCCATTGAACTTGACAAATTTTCTCAACTAAGTCCATAAACTTTATTTTGATCTATATTAGTAGTTAAACTTGATATATTTTTTAAATTTAGTCTTTACATTTTATTTTAATCTACATTTGTCTCCAAACCTAGCAACTTTTCCAAATTTAGTTTGATGATTTGACATTTTAACAATGTACCACATCATGAAAAGGACTAAAAATATATTTAAAAAAGTCAAATTCAACGATAAAAATAGAGAAAAGAAAGTCAAGAACCAAGTTAAAGTAATTACCAAATTCAACAATTTTATCTTAATTTCAAAGTGCTTTCTCTCATATATAAAAAAAAATTATATTGAAAGCTTAATAATGATATTGTTGTGAGACGCAGGGAAAATTTGAATGTGACAAAAGAAGGAGCATCAGCCACTACCAGTCCCGTTTCCCCGCCGTTGATTTTTCATTGGCAAGTAATACTTTATATTCTCTTGGTTTCCTCGGCGGCCTTCGTTCGCTGCATCCATCTCTTCAAACTGCTGGGCTGTTTCATTGATTTTACTTCCATCTGGTAAGTAATTTAACAGTGCTTTGATGTTCAGATCGAAAATGAAGATGACATTTTGTGGAAAGGCGGTGATCAAATAGAAACACACGAAGCAGTGAGAGCTAGGGCTATGAAGTTTACCCAATGGTGAGTCTGTTCTGTTTTCCCCCCTCTAATTCAATGAAGATGAATTTGGTTGATTAATAAATTATATCATAATTTAAAATTTTGAAAGAGACGATTCATCTACTCGTGTTTATGCATATAATTAAATAAATCAATGGTGTTGTAGGTTGTGGGAGAGGGAAGAAAAGGAGATAGCAGTGGTGAGCCATGGAGTGTATTTGCAGCAGGCAATGATTGAACTTATTAAAAACAATTTGTGCTACCCTTTACACAACGATCCACTCTCCCGGTCAGTCTCGTTTCCCTCTTTCGTCTGCAAAATTGGATTTACTCTAAAGCTTTTAATTATTGGAATTTGTTTTTGCAGCTTCAAAAACTGTGAAATCCGATCGGTGTTCATCTTTTCTGAAAGGTGAGAGCAACAAACAATGAATAATCGAAAAGTTTATTGTTTTCTCTTTCTTGCTGAATTAGTACTTTTGTAGAATAACTGGAGCGGGATCAGATGCTTTCGTGATGAAAAACACCAACCGTGGAAGAATGAGAATCCCCTGTGAAATTGAACAGCTCCAAATCAAAGATTCTGCCAAAGAGAATGTTTCAGTGGAGGAACTGGAGGTCACAAATTAAGTAATAACTGTAAGGCGTTGGCCAATATGCAACTGGTCATGTTTTGTTGATTTTTTTTTAAAATAAAAGTAACGATTTTGAGATAATTCAATCATAAAATTAAATGTTACAAAATATCTAAAATTATAATAAAAGTTTACAACTAAAACTTAAATTAAACATACTATTTTGAATTTTTATGATTATTGACATAATAGAAAATAAAATATCTAAAATTATAATAAAGGTTACTATTAAAACTTAAATTAAACATACTATGTTGATATTTTTTTTATGATTATTGACATAATAAATTTAGTCACTTATAATCATACATTGATTGTAGAAGCAAAATGTTAAAAATCTGTATAAAACGTCTTAAATAAAATATAGAAAAGAACAAATTCGACCACATCGACAAACGAAACACAATAAATGATCAAACTACAAAAAGATCACTTACAATCGTAAATTAAAATCGAACATCATGAGAAAACTATCTCCAAACGCAAATCACATATACAAATTCAATTTAAGGGACTAAAATAAGTAAGATAAATATGACAATGAATAAGTGTTATCCTAATTAATCGAGACCACGTTATATTTAACCCTGAGAAAATAAAATAAACATAACCACCGAAACTACTTTATCTCTTGTTCATTGTTATCTCTTGTTGTATACTTTATTTCTCCATAACTACTTTAGGTTGATATATTTGTTTTTTTTATTTGGTTTATAAAAATGAATTGATTCCATCGACAAATTGTCCAGTCGTAGGGATGAATGGCCGCAATAGATACTCTATCCTATTCCTACGCCTCCACTCACACTAGGGTGGGTTTTTGCGTCACTCCCTTTTCATGCTTTCCATGCAATAATAATTGTTCTATCAATTTGGCACAATGAGGAATCCATTTGGGCAACATGATTATTATTAGCCTAGTGTTCGTCTCGATGTTTATATATCTTACACTCAATTATACATTTTTAATATTAAATGCATCGAAATTTGAAGTTTAAAGGTTATTATCCGGTCGGATTTGATTTAATCTTATAGAAGACGTAATGATCATGAGTATGAAAAGTTAGTCCAAGCGGAATAAGTTATTAGAGAGGAGGAAATGCAAATATTTTAGGTGGTATGGATGGTTAGTCTAACAACACCACTTGCAACGTTGATTAGGTTTTTATGGCATTGGCAGACAGTGGAAATTTCACTTGTGGTGTTGAGGACTATAAATATATTCTAATCTTGACTCTGGGATTGTGGAAATATTTGATCAAACGGCAATGCTATATGGTATATACAGACCTGGATAGAGCGACGAGCGGAAATAACCACTTATTCTAAAAATTTAAAATTATCATATAGTTTAAAAAATTCTATGTATTCTTTTGTTGGAAACTTGTTTTCACCCCTTAAAATTTTATAAGTTAGTTCATTTATAAAATTTTAAAAATTTATCATTTAACATAAAATCATGCGTCTGTTAATGAGTATATAGTTTTTTTTGGGTACAAAGTGACCTTTGATATATCAATGGCTCTATGCCAAAAAGCCAACAATTGTTTTTGTTGTTCCCAAACTAACACTATTACAAGGATAAATATATATTTTTGTGTTAGAAGAGACGGACATATAAAATTTTAAAGAAATATAAACTTATAAAATTTTAGTATGAGATAAATGGACGAAAACAATTTTTTAATAAAAAATATAAAAAATCAGAGTATATATAAAAAAATCAAAATTTATAAGAGGAGAAACCGTCCACACCCCTCTCGATCCATCTTTAGACACTAAAATGAAACAAGAAAATATCTAAGATTCCCATGAAAACGTTGCTATGCTCGTATCATACAAGGTTAATAAGTCTCAACACTCGAATAAAATGATTAATCATTGTTTAGAGTATTGATAAGATTATTATATTCTTAAGAGGAGAACTTAAATTTAAATTTAAATTCTGAAAAATGTTATTTAGTATTTAAAAATTATCTGCAACGGTTATCACTTTTCATATAGGAGTTACAAGCAATTTTTATGTCCAAAGGAGCAGTGGTGGCTTGTCCAGCCACCTCCTGTCATTTACGTTTTTTTTTTTTGTTAGTATATTGTCTTTAGATTTTATTATTTTTCAGTTTTAAGCATTTATAATAGTGTTTTCTTTTTATTTATTTTCTTTTGATAAAGAGTACCATAGTTATCGGTGTCTTTGGACTTCAGGTGCAAATTTTTTCCATTGGTCTCTATTTTTATAAGAATCCATGATTGTTTGCTTTCTTGATGTCTGATTTTTTTCTTTCACTTGTATACACTACAACATAATGGAACTATAGCGACGTTTTTAAGTCATATAGTGGCGTTTTTAAAGGCGCAAAAATCCTAAAAACGCCTCAAATATTAGCGGCGTTTGTAAATAAAAAATGCCACAATAGGTTTAGACTTTTAGCGGCGTTTGTTTTAAAAATGTCACAAAAGGTGTGGACATTTAGCGCCATTTTTTTGTATAAACGCCACAACATGTTATGATATTTGGCGGCGTTTTTTTGTATAAACGCTGCAATAGGTTATGATATGTAGCATCATTTTTGTATAAATGCCGCAAGATGTTATGATATTAGCGGCGTTTTAGAGTAAAAACGCCACAAATGTGTTCTAATCGAGAATGATTTACAAAGGTTAATTTTATATTCTTTATTGCCAAAATTTAACATATCATGTAACAATTAATATCCAATAATAACCTTGATACGACTCGAATTAAGTACTTAACAACTTAAATAAATAAAGTTTACAAACCATTAAAGTAATGTAGTTCAACATTAAGTGAAATGTAATATAGTTCAACATTAAGTGAAATGTATATAGTTCAACATTAAGTGAAATGTATATAGTTCAACAACTATAATAATTAAAGCATGAACCTAATAAATCACCTAGGGTGGTGAATTTCGCTGTTGAAAGTTCTGCATCATCTACTTCATAGCTTCAAGTTGTTTTTGAAGTTCGTCATATTTTAGATGATATGTTGCTTCTCTCTCTGCTTCTGGTTCTGCTTCTCTCGCTTTAATTTCGGCTCTCATTTGAACAAATTTTTCATCCATTTCAATTAATTGTTGTTTCAATCGAATAACTTCTGATTGAGAAGATTGGCTCTGTGATAGCATGTACTAAGACAAATTGGATCCAAAATATTTGGATGGGGTAACGAATGATCACTGGCAGTGAACTCGACCATATCTTTCCAGGCCAAAAAACTCAACAATAACTTGATTTTCAATCTAATCCACATTGATGGAACCCTTAGATAAAGCCATCGGTTTATACTCCATCCTTTTATCATTCAATTTTTCCTAAGAATCAATTAAGAATTTAGAATAAATTCAAATTTTATTTAAAATAAAAATGTTCTGTTATAAATAAAAGTATAACATAATTCAAATTTTATGCCTAATAAATATACCATGATTTCTGCAGCTTCAGGAGCCATAGGAGAGCCATCGTTTTTTTTATGTCTCAGTTTGAAAAGTTTTATTCGTCCAACTCGATTGTCAGACGTAGTTTCCTACAATGTAGAACATAAATTAGTACTTAAGAAAAATTAATAAATAATAAGAAAATGTTCATTACTATGTGAATTGTCATAATCATGACCTACACGTGCAAAGCTTTTCGATCCAGTTGTGTGAGTAAACTTTTGATGTTGTCTGCTAGCAATACCAATGTCCTCTCGATCCTACAATTTGAAATTTACATGACTTATAAAGTGGAAATTATAGTGAGATAATATTATTTTTTAAAGTTCACATTATACGTCTCATTTCTTTGAACTCCAAAACCTGACTGCATCTTCCCACTGATACCTGAGCATTCTATGTGGGACATTTTGCACCTTTTGTTCTAGGCTGAGATCATTCTTAAAGTATTTATTTTTCAATGAACTCTTGTGGTCTCTTCATTTCTTTCCTAACACTTGCTTCAAATAATCATATAAGACATCTGGAGAAAATTTATCATATAAATAACACAATTGTTAAAAGTAAATACAAATTAGTAATGAACTGTAATGAATTATCTATTACAATAAATTATTACCTTAATTAAATCCACAACCTGATTTTTGTTACTTTGTCATCTCATGCCATGACTGAAAATTGATCAGTAGAAGACTAACATTGCACGTAATCACGCCTAAGTAACCAGTTAGAACATGTGCCTCTGTCCCAATAGGTTGGTTGACATCATTACTTGTACCTTTGACATGGTCTTCAGCATGAAGTTCATATAATTATGTCATTATCGTGTGACTTCTAGTCTTACGTCTTTCACCATTTGCAGTTACATAAGAAATAATTCAGTGTAATTTTCAAAATCAAGACAATAAAAAATCAACTACCATTTAAATATAGTATCAAACATTACCTTCAATTTCGACAGTTTCTTCAACTGTATTTGAAACTTCCAAAGATCCACCACTAATCGGTTCTTCATTATTTGTTTCTTCCTCCTGTCGAGGAGCTCGAACAATTCACAAATCACTCAATTTCCTCCTTGGCATAATATCTACAATAAACAAATAACAATATTAATAACTAGTTACAAGAATACTATTAAAGTATATATTATAAATTAATCAATTAAGATATAAATATTACTACGTTGTTATGTCATATTAGTTTTCAAAAATTTCTTCATTCATGTCATCTCGAACCCATTGGAATTATGAACTATTACTAGTGATAGTTTCAACTAATTTTTTTTTCGACAAAAGAAAAAGTTTCTGATATTGTTTCAATGTCATCTCTACTTCAATCTCCAATGTCTATCAAGGCTCTAGGGATATTACGTAGTACAACATACCAACACTCATCCATTGGATCGTGGCAATAAAAACTTGTTTGACTTGCAAAGAAAATACATATGGCTCGTCCATCAACTATAGACTGGTGTGAATTAATCGAGAGAAGTTTACCATTGTAAAACCTAATTGATCTCTTTTAATGCCTCCAGTAGTAGTTACATCAGCTCAATCACAACGAAATAACACAACCTTTCGTTTTCCATAATAATCAAACTCAATAATGTCTGTAAGGATTCTA